CGAGTCCAACCTGCAACGCGGTCCGGTCCGGGTTGGGTCACATTGCAGGCCTCTAATTCTTCTAGACATTTTTTGAAAGTAAAAATAACTTCCATCAGATGTAATATGATTATCAATATTTATAACTGTTTTTGATCTTGTTAAGGAATATTTTATTGCTGATGCTACAAGATTAATAATTCCTGAGACATATCTTCCATGACGTGTTCCATAGATTGCATTAACCACCACTACATGTTTAAAAGTTTTTTATCTTCATGTTGATTTTGATTTTACTTTCATTGAATGTAAGTGTTTCTATAAGCTTTACAATAACTAGATTTCGTTTTAACTAAATCAAACCTGATCATTCATTAAATTAATGATAGCATCATATAAGTTGTTTCGTTCATGCTTAGCAATTTCAATAATTAATTCTACTCTTAATTGTTGATCATTGAGTGGTGCACTTATTTTTTCTTTTAGTTTATAATAATTTGCATTTTGCATTTCTAAATCTTTTATTATTCGTTCATTTACACTTATGATATCAACATTGATTCTTTTTGGTTTTTGCTAATTCCAAAAAAAAGATCTTCTCGTGTGACATGTCCTGCAAATAAATCAATGGTCCTGAAAATTTTCGAGTGAAAAAATTTCGAATTGAATGATTGTGCTCTTCATACAGTCAGACCTCCATAAATGCACCCCCTTGGGACCAAGAGACAGCGTGCATTTATGGAGGGTGTGCATTTATGGAGAGAAGCAATTTCATTGGTCACAAATGATACACAATATTTTAAATACAGTAATACTAAAATAACTATCCATTGTAGTTTGTTTTGATGAATTGACTTTTTTTATATTGATTTATCTTTCAATTTTATTAACCAATTTTATTTGTTTGTAGTATTATTTTTCTTGCTGTAATAAAAATGAATGTACAGTTTCAAGACCTTTAATGCTTCCTCAAGGCTTAATGTCATCTTCTCAAAATTGTCAGCAGGTACATTCATTTTATTTTTATATATTTCTGCAAGTTCTTTGATTATTTTATCATCTGGAACCTCATAGACAATATTTTCTTCAGGGATATTCAAAAATTCATCAACTTGCATTTTATGAAAGCATTACATATTGGAAATTATCCAATCAAATCAAAAAATTTGCCGATGATTTCTAAATTTATCCTAGTTACACGATGAATTTTATACATTAGTCACGTGGGGTGCATTTATGGAGGGAGTTATCATATGAGTGGGACTAAAAAAATACCGTGCAGTGCAGAGTATGGAGGGTGCATTTATGGAGGTCTGACTGTATATTAATATTAGTATGAGCCTTTTCTGAAACATCTTATTTTTTTATATACAAGTGTAACCAATCAATTCAATTAATGATTTTTTTTTAAAAAAAATGTTTCCTTTTTAAATAACAATAATAAAATTAACAAAAGAGAGAGGTCATGTCACAAAGGGTCAATACACACAGCATAAGCCACTAGCAAGAGCTCCACTCTCTCATTTGCTGGACTTTAATTACACATTTAAGTAAGTCACATGGCTTTGACATTGCATGTCTTACCCCGAGATGAGTACTAATAATGAAAAAATCAGCCTTATATGCCAACTTTTTTCAAGTTGTGCAAAAATGGGAATACATTTCATTGGATAAATTCTATTCATAATTTTTTATTGTGCAATCCTGTGTATTCAATAGAAAAGTAAAGTGGTTATGAGTTTTTGTGGAAGTTGTAGAAGTAACTGTTAAAGACAAGATTTATGAAACTTCCAAAGCAAGTTGTAAAATATACTGATGAATGTTTATCAATTATTCAATAGTTTGTATAGGTATGATCAAAGTAAATATTAAATACAAGATCTATGGTACTTGGAAAAGCCAAACAAATGTTTATCAATTATTCAATATGTATATAGGCGGGTTTGATTGAGTCAAGATCTATGAAGCTTGCAAATTAAGTTTTGCAAAATGAATGTTTATTCAATAACTATATAGGTGGGTTTAAGGTTGTGGGCGAAACCTCCTTAGTAATTGCTGAAACCACAGCAATACTATATTAAATCTTATCAAAAATCCTGTTGAAACTATGCTGAAATGGCAAAACCTCAAAATGCACTCACCTCCCAAAAGTCATGGACCACTTTTTTGAAAACCAATTAAAATTTTATCAATTTATTAACTACATGTGAAATTTTTACAGTATATTCCTGAATCATTTGTTTATGTTTGTTATGATTTTCATCGCTGAATAAAGAGTTACATGGAAGTTTTGTTATTGTGTTTGTTTTGAACTGTTAAAATTTTGATCGTCACATTTTTTTAAATGGAAGTTGTATATATTTTATTATTGTAAAAAAAAACAAAAAATTAATTTATTTAATTTATAATTTATAATAGTTGTGTTGATAATTTGATTGGTGGAATAGAACCTCTGACTAGCTATATTTCTGGCATTCTAGAAAATCGTTGGCCTTCTTTGTTCAGGAAATTAACATCCATTGAATTTCCTAAACAACACATAAAAAAATTATTTCCAGCATTTACAATGTTGGTAATAAATTTTAACAAATTAGCCAATCTCCACAAAGATAATAAAGACTTAAAGAATGGATTATGTTTGTAGTTCCATTAGGAAGTTTTTCTGGTGGAAAGTTGGTGTACCTAAATTGGATTTATTATTTCAATTAAAAAGAGGACAGATCATTTGCTTTCAAAGTGATCTATTACAACATGACAATTTGAAAACCAATGGTAACAGGCATTCGCTAGTATTTTTTAAATCATCAACTTTGTTTTCAAAAGCCAAAAAAATTTTAATATTTAAAAATGTAAAAAATTGTATTTTTTTTTTTTTTGTTAATAAAATATAAATTAATAAATTAAATTTTACATTACTAGAGTGATCGCATGCGAGGAAAATACTCTGTCCCAAAGCTTTGCGAGTATACCTATTCTTTGATCACTCTAGCCAATTATTAATTATTTAATAATTTTCATTGTGATCTTCTCTTTATTTATCCGTTCCTGGATTGAATCATTCATATACAAATATCATATAATAAAATTTACAAACCAATTGTTATCAATATTAATTATAAACGCACTCATTCTTGTTCAAGCTTTTATAAATGGCATAAGTTCTGAAACCGAGGGTTACTCATCATATAAAATACATAAACAAGACTATTTGTACAAATAACATTGAATAAATAAATGTGTTTAATGTGTTTATAATTTTAAAAAAAAATATATAAATGATTTCTTACATATGGTGGCGGCATAAAAATTTTTAGTATCCTTTTTTTCTTGCTTCCTCTCAAAAAAAAACCATCACCTAAATTAAATAAAAATATTAATGACATCTAAAAACTTTAGATACGGTGATTTCCTATATTAAAAATCCACATTAAAATCTTGTTTTTGAATTAAATCAATATCAAAAATCAAATAGGTAGAGACACACATGAGATTAATTCTAGAAAACAAGCCACATTAGAAAAATAAATATACTTTTTATTTTTAATAGAAAATACATACCGTACCAAAAAGTCAGTATGTACTTTTCTTCAGCATGGTGCTTACTTGCCTTCGGTACAATACACTTTCTACATACCGATTTATTTTATTCGAATGATAAACATCAACCCAATAAATTAATTGATTTTAAAGATTGATGCAAATAATCCTTTAAATTAGTTCTATACAAACACAAACACAATTCAAATCTCTCTTATGCTAATAATTCAACAAGTGATTTAATGACATTCGAGTTAAATAATGTTTAAAGTCATGGATACAAAATTTTTTACTTTAACCGGTATTTAACCAGTTTTTAGTCGGTTATGGGAACTGAAACTCCGGATTTCTACCAATATTCAAAAAAATGATACATTGGTAGAGAAAAAAAAAAAAATAAAACTGAAAGAATATTTCAACAATTTTAGAAAACATATTAAAATTAAAAATTCAAATGAATGGACAATGAGGGTCAGAAACTCATTGAATTGAAATATTGATAAACGTAAAAAGTGGATGAGAAGCATACTTATTTTGATTATTATTATAGAGATAATGAAATAACAATCAAGGACTTTGTAAACAAGGAATTTTCTTTGTTTTTTATTTCTAATAATATCCGTTCAATTCCCTCAGCTATAGATGGTTTGAAACCTATGCAACGTTTTAAAAAAGTTGGTCAAAGAGATCTGGATTATCAATCCATATGTGGACTAAATTGGTGACATGATCAAAGATAATTATATTGAAGGTTTTAAGAATAATTCTGTAAATGAAAGTGCTTGTTTTGAAATGTTAACAGATGAAGAGGGTTGAAAAAATTGGACCAGAGAAAACATTTCATTTAAACAACTGTCAACATCAAACATGATAATTCTGGTCAAATATGAACACCGGAGGATATATTGAGTGAGTTTTTAATGAAAGATTAAACCTTATGTAAGTTATTGACATACTTATTTATATGTATATATGTTGTTTAAATTCCAAATAATATTTTAGTTTATCGATTTATTCTAATATATATATTTATAATTATAGTTGCATTTGAATGTAGTGTGTTTATTTGGTCAAAAGATCTCATCACATTAGAAAATGCATGGGATGAATACATTGATTGACAAAGAAAATAGAATAATACGTTTATCTTTTATCAAAACCTCAGTCGATGATAACAGAAAGTTCAAGTACAAACAACCCAAAGTTGATATTTTGACTAACAATAACAAATTGAATATTATGGATGCTGGTAATATGACCAACCGATAAAGGAAACTCAATATTAATCAAGAAACGAGAATTCATAGACAATGATAAAGCCACATCCAGCAAAAGAAGATCAAAGGATGTTTAAATATAAATTCAGAAAATATTTAATTTTATTAATATTATTTATATTTATTTATTTATGATTATTATTTGCATTTTAATAATGTAGTATTGCTAATATTAATATAGAATTGTACTTGTTTGTCACCAAATATTTACGAGGGATTTTGATTTGGAGCAAGTGCTATAACTGTAAATTGCAAATTTCCAACTTCTCGTTCCATAAATTCTTTTTTAATCACTTTGGTAGCATCCTATTCAGTCATTTAATTCATGAGAGGATTATTTATTTATTATATAGTGAATATTTATGCCCTCTCAAATTATCAATTAATTAACAAATATATTTATATTCACAAACCTGTAATAAATCAGTAGATGGTCCATGACTGATGGGAAATGGCTTTCTTCCATCCAACTCATAAAGTGTTCCATTTTTTACAATAAAACACGTAAAATGTAAATTTACATCTTCATGCTCACCTGGCACCTAGCATAATGAATTACAAAAAATTTATTCCAAAAATTAAATGAGAAAATTTTTTTATGATTTTTTTTTGAGAATTACTTACTCGAGTCTGACCAGATAATGCTTGACTTTGATGAATTTTTGCTAATTCTTCATCTTCTTCTAAAACTTTAGCTCGCTCATCTGGTGTCAAATCTTTACTTTTATCTAATAATCGTTTAAGTGGTCCATCACCTTTTCAATTATATAATATAGGTTATTATTTTTATTGCATTTTTTGTTAATCACCAGAAAAAATTTTATTTCACATTCTCCAATATTACATACCAATTTCAATTGTGTCAGTGTTAGAAGCTAATGAATGTAATAAGCCAATCGTGCCACATGCATTTGATATTGTTTGTTTGAAAAAAACTAAATCTGGTAATGATGATATCACTGATGTTGATGAAGTAGACGCTAAAGTTTTCTCAATCAATTCTTTATTATATTTTTCATGATTTTCTGTTATAGGAAATAACAATAAAACTGCTTTCACTGGTTGTGGTATCATTGCAAGAAGTTCCAAATCAAGTCCTATTAATAAATGAATAATTAATTATTAGTTGTAATAAGGGTAGAATAGAATAGAATGAATAGAGTAGAGTGGATAGAGTGGAGTGGATAGAGTGGATAGGATAGAATGTATAGAATGAATGAATGAGTTTTTTACCCCAAACATCAGTATAAGCCCATGAATTAGAAACTCCCAACTTATGAATATACTATAAACAAAATAATTTTAAATTATTTTAATTATATAAATCAAATCTACATTCTATATATTTTTTAATTATAGTAAAATTTCTACCTCATTCATAACCTAATAATCATAAGAATTGAAATATAACATTAAATTCAATGAATTCGAATTCCTTCTAATTAAATTGATAATTAGAGAAAAAGAAAACTTACATCGGGATTGGATTCTAATGGAAGCCATAAGTTTTTCTTGGCTGTTTGTTGTTGTTTAACGTCTGTCATGTTTGAATTCCCAACTGTTACTGACGTTATTGTTGTTGTTATTTATATCAAAAATTTTGGACAATCATAATCAGTCAGGTATACGTTATCTACGTTACACGTATGGCGATTACAATCATAGATGGTTACATTTTTTGAAAGTATATATTAATATTAATATTAAGTAAATGCGTCTGCTCATGACATCATGTTTATACCTTTTAGGTTACGTTACAAATGACTAGCTCTGAATTTTATATAGATCGCGCCTGGGTTCTTTGTTCTTGCAATGAGCTTGTTACTATGTCCAGTTCTAACAATAATCATTCGACGATACAAAGTTATTTATTTAACGAAAAAAATTTTTTTTTTGAAAGTTTGCAGTGTCATTAGTTATTTCTACGACCTACGTTTTCACAATATTCAATTTCTGCTAGCACTATATAGCTATTGCGGATCGTTCCAAAATTTTTTCTTCGGTAAAAGTTCTTTATAGAGAAACTCTGATTACCTTATAAAAAAAACATGCATGAAGTGAATGACAAAGCAATGTAATCGTGATGATAATTAATCTCATTTTTTTGATTGTTTTGGCTTTTATTAAAGAATTGTGAGAAGGAAGAGAGAACAAATGTAATAATCATTTCAGTCAAACCTCGTTTCAAGAACATGTAAGAAAATTGCGTCTAAAATCCATTATGCCAAGATTGCTAATCGCGTTTCAACTTTCAACGAATTTTATATGTAAAGCAAAAATTCGTTGTAACGCGAATTTAAAATCATAATTCGTTGAAACAAGTATAAAATCATTGATTGTTCTTTTTTTTTCATTGGTGTTTTAAAAAGACTTGGTTAGCATTCCTTGACAACAGTCAAGCTTTTGGATCTTTTTTGTTTGAATGATCCATCTAACTGCATATATATATATAATCAATCTTTCATTGTTCATAAAGAAAATAATTCAAAGAATTTTTTTTTGATGTGCTTAAAAAATTCTTTTTTTTTTTTCACAAAATATTATATCCTTCAGTTAAATTTATGTCAATGAATGAATTAGATGAAGCTGAGGCCAACCAACATGGAAATTCTGCGTTTGATAAATTTCTCATCAAAAGGCAGAGGTAGAGATAAAAGGAAAGCAAGTTAAATTATTATTCTTTGATTTAGAAACTATATTATCATTATTAAATGAAAAAAAAACTATTTTGTCATTTATTTCATTTTAGATGTAATTCCGTTCAAGATGCCTTCAATAATAGTAATAGTAATAGATCAAATATACGTAATTTCTGTTAATTTGATATGTTTTTTTATGATCCTAATACAGAAAATTGTGAATTTCTGTATTACGTGTAGTATACTAACAACAACAACATAGGAACAAATTTATTAATAAAATCCGTTATGCCATTGTAACAAGAAATCCGCTGTGTCGAGGTCCGTTGTGGTGATGTTTGACTGTAAATCCTATGTAGGAAAAAACTTCCTAATGTTGGAGAGAATTTCAAAAGAGAAAACTGACTTTAACACAGCTTGCTTGGGAGAATATGCAAAATGATAATATTACATGACCCAAATAAATCAAGAAAATGCCATGCAGATAATAATAGTAAATTGAGGTCCAACTTGGATCCCAATTGTTGCATTTTATACATGACAATATCAATGGCGCATTTTGGCATTTAATATTAATAATTAATATTAGTCAATCATTCTATTTATTATATTCTATTGGACAAAATCATGTAAAAAGTCATGTACAGTGTGTTTCAAAAAAAAGGGCGCGCACAAAAAATTGCATATCTTAACAATTATGCAAGATAAACAAATAAAATTAGATTCATTTAAAAGCCTATCGAATACTTTATTAAA